ATCATTCCTGTTGTAACCTCAGAGCAAGAGGACAGAGTCTCAGATCAAAATTAGCCATGTGGCAGTTTTCTTTGGGTTATAATAAAAGAAACTCAGGTTGTTAAAAATCTGTAGACAGTAACCAAAAAGCACAGCTAGAGACAGATGAAATAACTTCATACTGTCCCGTTAACTCTCTTCAGAATACTCACTGTCTTTTTAGGTTTACTTTTTTAAATCTTAATTAACAATTTGGAAATGAATCCTGGCAAAGTCTATAAATAGATATCTCCCTTGAGCTCTCTCTGTCCCTTAAGAAATGCCAAACTAGGGACCAGCAGTTAGCATAATGGCTATGTCGCGGGACTCCCACGTAGTCGACCGCGGTTCGCGTCCTGGACCTGGTGGCTTGAAACTCACACCGGGCGTGTGTGTGTGCGTGCCCAAGATCCCGAGAGGAGAACAGAGGAGAAGGGATTACGGCATAGCCATCCCCCCTGGGGGGTGATTTCTCGCTTTCTGTCTCTCTGTCTCTGGCGAGCACATGCTCCCTATTAGCAAAAAACCTCTCCAAAAAAAAAAAAATGCCAAACTAAAAACACTACCTTGTGCCATTAATAAAATGAACAAGATGCAAACTACCAGGTTGGTGGAGTTTTTTTTCCCTTGTGAAATTAAAACACGAGAGACCAGCCACAACGCCTCCACCTATCCTAAGCAGTTCTGCGAGCTGAGGCCACGTTCACCAAGTATAGAAACAAGATCTAAGAAGCCAGTTTTGGAAACCGAAAACGGGTGTGCGGCCTGTACTTTGCAGGGACTGGGGTCGGGGTTCTGAAACATCCGGCATATTCTGTTCAGGGAATGCTGCACCAGGAGCAGAGCAGACAATCACAGATCTCTCATGGACTAACACGTGCGCTGGGCCAGGCCAGGACCGCGCAGGTACCACGTCGTTACACCAGGGCTCAGGCAGCACCCGGGCAGGCTGGAGCTCTCCTCGCTGTCAGGGCGACACCGCGGCTCTCGGAAGACAGATTCCTCAGGACAACAGGGTGCACGCACCCACGAGCCTGTCACCTCATCTGCATTTCTCCTTCAAGTCCCCAGGTCTGGAGCCCTCTGACATCAGCCTGCGCTCTAGTAGCGAGGGTGATCGGCACTTCGTTCCAATTTCCTTCATCTTTCCTTCCTGTTAAGAGCATTTACAGGGGTGAGCTGGCAGGTGGTGTGGTGGTTAAGGGCGCTGGAGTCCCACATGGCTAACTGCAGTTCAAGTCCCGGACCTGGCAGCTTACCTTCTCACTTTCCCTCTCTCTGTCTCTCTCTCCCCCTCTGCCTCCCTCTGTCTATCTCTGGTAACATTTAAATAGATAAATAAATAAATAAAGTCAAATAAATAATTCTTTTAAAAAGATATGTAAAAAAGTAAATTTAATTTAAAAAACTAAAACAATTTTTAGAAAGACCATTTACAGGAAATAGCCCTGGCACACTGGCTTACTCCCCCGTGGTACTCTACGATGCATTACTTCTGTCCAGTGCTTACTTCAGCCATGTGGCTCTATCTTAACGCAACTGCCCCGGGTGGGGTCTTGCTTGGGCGCGTGACAGGCAGCCCCGCAGGGTAATTCTGGATAAAGTGGACATCTGCACGGTGGAAGGACGGAGGCCACCTGTCTCGGAGCTGAGGAGAAACGGCAGATGCTCCTGCAGAAGGCCTGGCTCAGGTGACCCAGATCCAGCCGAAGGGGGCGGAGATCTTCACGGCAAGCCAGCCCCTCTGGCATTTACCAAGTGGGAGATGGACTTGCTCAGGACCTGCCGTGGCACCCTCGGGCTGCCAGGCACTCACAAGCGCTGCTCCACACCCGGAGCTGTCACAAAGTCTCTGCAGCCCGAGCACACACGTCCATGGGGACACGTGCATCACGGGACGTCGCGGTCGGCCGGGTCTCTGCACCCTCTCCGCATCGGCTCTCACACACCCTCCTGTGCACGCCGCCCCGTGACTGCTCACTCACACGGATATTTGTGCTCCATGCAGGGAGAGGAGTTCTTTTTAATGTCGATGTTCTGATCACAGATGTGATAGTAACACAATGTTCATTAATGATTTACTGATTTCATAGTCTCACACTAGACTATGCATTTTACATTTTAATATAGGAATGCCAATTTAAACATTTATTATATTAGCCTTACTTCTTGAGAAGGTAATAGACGACAACGTCCCAGTAATGCGGTCCTCGTAAAGCTGAACTTGAGAGAAGAAAACAGAGGAGCTACATCCGGTTACATGAGAGACCTCGGCCAGCCAGAACACCTGCCCTCCATCTCGAGCATCCAGACGAGCAGTGACGGGGCTGTTGTCCACCGCTCGTGCGTGTCGATGTGCCGGTGACTGAAAGTGCACTCGTGACCTGCTCGTCAGTCTCAGGTGACGGGCATTTCTTTAAAAGCAAGTTCGTTTTTATTGAAACTAGAAATCCTCAAACTCTGTTTTGTGAGTGAAGACACGTGACAGAGTCATTACGACTGAAAACTTCTCTAGCCGGAGTTTTCTTCGTAATGTATATCCTAGTTTTCAATACATATTCATTCTTATTATTGTACAAAATTTGAACCTAGAACGTTAGCAAGCGAAAGAATTTTATAGAGAAAATGGAGAATAACGATAGTAACAAAAATCGAGAGGTCTGTACGGAGCATGTCAGCCTGAGCCCCGTTTGTGGCAGGTTACCAGTTTACAAGTTCAAAGGGAAATTACCACGTTCCGTTTTCAGAGTTTAAAGGTGCAGGAAATGGGCACTTTTAACGTGTGACTTCGGGCCAGCGGGGGGGTGGTGGTTCAGGCGCTGGACTTGCATATGGCTCAAGTCCCAGATCGGGCAGCTTGCTTTCTCACTTTCCCTCTCTCTTTCCTCTCTGATAAACACACATGCCCTATAGCAAATTAAGGAATGATGATATAATAAATCAAATTAAATAAATAATTTTTTAAATAGTACATTTAAAGCTCTTCTGCTAAACGAAGATAACATTTCTCCTTCCATTCGCAACGGAACGCTGGAAGTGAGAGCTCCGTAGTTACTGCCGTGAGCACTCTGGAGGGCTCCCTGTAATAGCTTTGCTCAGAACCTCATGTTTGTGGGAGCGAGTCTGATGACAGAGACTGGAGAGGAAAACTAGGAGGGAGGAGACCTCGGCTTTCACTAACTGAGGCCAAAGGCGAGACCGTCACTCCTGCCACTAGACTAAGGCACTCGGTCGGGTTCCAGCCAAGGACATCGCCGGGAAGTGCCACACCTCCCCAGGGTGTGGAGGCGACTGTGCCCACTTGCTTCACCGACACCCATTCGATCCAGAGGAGGAAGCACCTTTGCTCCTTAAAGAGCCCACGGCGAGAGGCCCGGACCGACATGGAAGCAGAGCCGTCAGGTGCAAGATGCTCTGAGGAATGCTGTCAGCAACGGAAATGCTCCCAGGGACCCAGCGCGGCAGCCCCGGGGGACACTGGCAATCCGGCCGAGGCTGCTCCATGAAAAGCCAGGCATGGCGGCACGTGTCTGCAGTCCCACTACAGGGAGCGAGGCAGCTACATGGCGACACGACCAGGCCCATCAGAAACACGTACATGCCACAGCAACACCTCCACGCGTCAGAGCCACCTCTCACGCCTCCCCTTCACTCCCACCTGGAAGTGAGGAAGCAGCAGCTCCCCCTAGACACACCCCAGCCCTGCTTCCAGCTCCTGCCCGACCTGGCGGGCCTGCAGCCCCCCAGAGCCGCCCCACACGGCAGGGACGGCGGGGCGAGGACCACAGTTGGGACCTCAGCATGAACGGGGTCAGTGTCTGCAGCATGAACACCGCTGATGCCCAGAGCGAGGACGTGGCAGTGGGCTCCTCTGAGGCAGAGCTCTGCTCTGCAGCCAGAAAGCCACAGCAGAGAGGGCGCCACGTGGTGAGCAGGGAGCCTGCCACAGGACACCAGGTCACCAGGGCCAGCTGCCAAGTACTGAAAAGAAAAAGCCAGTGCCTGGGGAGTCCGCGGCCAGCAAGTGACAGCAGGGAGCACACCGGAGCGCAGAGCTGGACCCGCAGAGCCCCGCGGTTCTACCAGGTGAGCACCGACATCGACTGAACCACTGAAATGCAGTGTGCAACTATCTCAGGACGCAGGACGGGCAGGCGTAAGGACAGGAGGGCCCTGCGCTGGCTCTCCACTCCAGGATGTGTCCTGGCTCTCCCTGGTCATTCTTTCTCATGCTTGATGCTGCGTGCTCAGCTGTATGGGTCAACACGCACACGTGCACACACACGCATGCACACGCACACGCACACACACACAGCAAGCGGCTTCTCACCTCAGGGCCTCCCTCCAGGTGTCACGTGTGCATGCAATGCCCAGCTCACACCCTGCACCAAGCCTGGCTCTGTCTCCCTCCTCCCCATCCCGTGAAGCCTCACGGATACTTGATTTATACAGCAAATACCTCCCATGCCTCCTGTTCTGGACACTGAGCCCCAAACAGAAACCTAACTGCACACGCCCAGCATGTTCTCCTGTCACACAGCCGCACCTGACACCTCCATGCCATGAGCCCAGCATGGACACTGTGCCCAGGAAGCTGCTCACAGCTCGGCATGTGCAGTGTCCCTAAAGCAAGGAGGATCGGAACAGCAGCCATCTCTCCTTTCAGAAGTGACTCACTGGGCCGGTCTGCAGCATAACTGTTAAGGTGGCTGGATCCCACATGGTGGACTCTGCGGTTCGAGTCCTGACCCAGGGACTTCAGAGAAGTGGAGGAGAAGGAACGGCAACGTGAACATCCCCCATGGGGGTTCTCTCTCTCTCTCTCTCTCTCTCTCTCTCTCTCTCTTTCTCTCTCTCTTTCTCCCCTCTCTCTCTGGTGAGTGCACACATCCTTTGGTAAAATATTTTTCTTAATTACTTACTTTTTTCTTTCTTTGTGGGTGTTTTTCAGCATCCGCTGCAAACTTTCTGAAAGACAAAACAGAGTCAGCTTAAAAGGTGTAAAACCCAGCCAGATGCACCCCATGGAGATGCAGGCTCAGCCCATGGAGGTGCGGGCTCGGCCCACGGAGGTGTGGGCTCGGGCCATGGAAATGCAGGTGTACCCTATGGAGACGCGGACCCAGCTCACAGAAATACGGGCCCAGCCCACGGAGAGGCAGGCTCAGCCTACAGAGATGCAGGCTCAGCCTTGGCATCAGCAGGGGATCTGACGGGAGGAGGGGGCTTACGGTGTGTGGAGGACGGGGACCAGGGAGCGCACTCCAGGCTCAGGAGCAGGGAGGGCTCCAGAGTCCACTCAGCTGCCCCTGGAGGTCTCTGGAAGCCAGGGGGAGCAGGTGGACCCTCCCTATTAGGGCAGCGGGTGCCTCAGGGTTTCCATGGCACTGGGAGGAGGGCCCTGGCAGTCTAAGTCTTTGCCGGTTTATAAACTCTTCACCATCACCGTCTCCCGAGTCGCTCTCACACTAGCCCAGTGATGCTGGAGTTGCTGTCCTCGTCCTGCTGACAAGGAAACCGAGGCTCTGGGACCGGTGTGCATCAGACGTGTCCACCCACCATGCCATGTCCACCCACCATGCCATGTCCACCCAC